TGAACACATGAGACTTTGGGGGGACATTTCAATCTAAGTGACAACATACCTGCTATTTTCTTTGGATGTTCTCATCAGTCAAATCTCTGCTCCAATGTTGCTCTCTCAGGAACGATTTCTTATATCCCTTTAGCTAAAAATAGTCTGCTGCACATAAACCTTTGTGGTATTGCTGGTTGTATTTTCTTGCAGCCCATGACGTTCTCAAGTGCATATCAATTTGTCTGTCTCCCTCATCAAAAATCAAGCTCCATGGGGACAGGGATGCTGGCTGCCTTATTCTGGTACCTATAACCGTCCAGACAGGCAGTGGATGCTTGACAAATATTTATTAAGTCAGTGATCTCCATGATGCAAGTTATAATCAGCTTTCATAAACAGCCCCTAAAAGGTCAAGTCTGTGCCTTGGGGTCACAGCTTTTACAGGACTCCAGATATGCTGACACTCTAGAGATCAATTTATAGCTTCCTCCTGGCTGAAAAGGGCAAATGGCTTACACTGAAAACCCATTTGGCTGCGGAGGACTTCCTGTACCTTCACACTAATCTTTCCTCTCTCTGGCCCAGGTCAGATGGTTAGAGCATGCGCTGGAGCTTTTCCTGTGCGTTTATAAATAAGTCTGGGCTCACTGCTGAGCTCAAAGTAGCCTGCATGACATTTTCCCTACATTTTGTTCAGTTAGTAAGACTGGTCCTAGTAAGACCAGCAGTCATGCAGAGAATGACCCAAAACAATAATCAGGCTTCAAATGATCACATAACAATGCACATTCAGAGATTCCACTCAACCTTTTCCTCAATCTACACAGAAGCAGGTCATTCCAGGGTTAGGAACTGGCTGTTCTTACTAACAAGTCTATGTGGCTTATTTTTCACATAAGTAGCTTCATTCAAGTGGACACATAAAATATTAGGCCATCTATGTCACTTATCACTAAATGCTTCAAAAACTGTTGAATATAGGTCATGCAAGAAGTTTTATTGAGCCCAAGCAATTGGCACATTTACCAGAATGTCACTTGTAAATTGTTCAGAAACAAACAGCTCACAATAGTATTTGAGATTTTTTTTTTTTACTTACACTAAAAAATCCACAGTTAATTGACTTTATGGAAAAGCATTAATATATTTGTATACTGAATGAAGAACAGTGACCCAAGACCTCCATTTACAAGGCCTGACTGCATATTTGATAACTAAACAATGGCTCTCAGTGGCCGGAGAATACATACGCCATTTTATTATAAATTGAAGCCTTAGAAAAGAGGAAAGAGCTTCCTATGAAGCCGTCAGCCAGCACACTGCAAAGTTTCAGAACACATTTAGCAGGGGCATATGTGTTACTCATTGAATCCTTCAGTTTAAGATTAAGATGTTTCATTGTCCCAAACTCTCATCCTCCAAATGAGGAAGCAGTGAATAATTAACCTCTGGCTCAATATGAGACCAAATAGCTGAATGGTTAACAACAGGGATTGAGAGTCAGATGGTTTTGAGCTGGGTGTCTTGGTTCCCTCATCTTCTAGCTGCATCAGCATTGTTAGGATATCCTGTGTGAACTTAGACATTTCACTTAATTCTTTTGAGCCCACATTTTCTTATCCGAGTGTTAATACAGATTAAATTTCATGAGGTATTCAAAACACTTAGCACACTATATGCCAGGTTAAATCTTTGTATTTATACCTAACGAGGGTTCTGGCAAGCATTTTCTGACCTCTTTTCTCAAATTCAGGATCATTGCTTCAAGCTACCAAAGAACTGAAAAGATTGCTAGTCTGCTCAAATTGATACCAAGAGATCAGGTAATTAATAGCACTTAGCTACAGGCATATAGGCAGGGTCAGGTAATCCCTTATTTATTGATGACAAATTAAGAAGCATCATTTACTTCCATTAGGGGCTTGATTGTAAAAGCACAGGTAGAAATTAAGGTCAATATAATGTCATAGAAATGCACTCCAGGAAAAACTTGTCTCCTAATCCAGATTGTACACAAATACGTATATGCCATGAGTATTCTTGCATTTCATGAAAATAATCTTTTTCCAATGCTACTGAAGGAAATGAAGGTTTCTCACTATATAGAGTTATTTCTTATTGATGTTTCTTACAATATCTCAGATTTATGATTCCTTTATGTTATGCATTTTCATAGAAATTTCAGTCCAACTCATTTAATAGTCATAATATTTTGTAGGACTTAACAACAGTGTTAATGCCATTTTCATTTATTTAGCATAGACATATGACGCACTGAGAGGCTAAGCAATTTGCCCAAAGGTCATGCAGCTGCTCAGTGGACAAAGCAACAAGAAAGAACACTTAGCTCAGTGAGCTTCCCAGAGCTTCTCCTGTAATCATAGCATGCATATGAATCACTGGGGATCTTGTTACAACGCAGGTTCTGATTCAGTGGGTTATGGGTCGGTGGCACAAGTGCCTTGCTTGGCAAGTAGAAGGTCCTGAGTTTGATTCTTGGTACCAAAAAATTAAAAAGTGAATTCAGTAGGTTTCAGGGTTCTAGAATTTTGAATGTCTAGCAACCTTCTAGAAGTTGTTCCTGCTGGTAGTTCTCAGACCACCTCTCAAGCAGGTGAATAAAACACCCTGTGCATGTCCTTCCTGATCTTCCCCAAATGCAACTGCACCCTTGGGGTATTCATCCATTTTCCCTTTGGACTATGAACTCTGTGAGAGCAGGAAAAGTGTTTTGTTCATTACTTTTACCAGGCTGTTTACACCATGCCTCAAAAAGAAACCAAAATTTTTGGAGCACAAAGAAAAAAGTTATAAAGCCAAGGTGCAAACTGGACATGGTTGTACACACCTATAATCCCAGCATGCTGGGAGGCTGAGACATAAGGATTACTGCAAATTCAAGCTTAACCAGGGCAATTTAGTGAGTTCCTATCTTAAAATAACATTATAAAAATTGTAGAAATGTAGCTCAGTGCAAAAGTCTTGGGATCAATCCCTAGTGCCTCAAAAATAATGATAATAATGCCACAATGCTTACATATTATAACTGTGATTACTCATTTAAAAATAATGTTTATCATGTGTATTTTCTTTTCTCAAGTCATATGATACCTAGTTGTAATTGCTAGGTTGAAAAATAACCACCAAAAGAAGACCTGCAGAGTCAACCAGTTTAGACCTGCAGAGTCAACCAGTTTAGACCAGTTTAGACCAGTCAACCAGTTTTACAGCACCTCTTCCTGAAATCAAGGTTCTGGTGGAACATAATCACATCCTTGGGCCAGTGGGTTAAGTAAGGTCATTCCGAGTGTAAGCAGTGAGTGTAGAATAGGAAGGGACACAGGGTTCACTAAGACTCATCGGAAGATGGACACACCACTTCTGCAATCAGCTGAGGATAATAACAGTCATCTACCAGAAATTGAGGGTTTTCCATATGCCAGGCACCGCACTAGGCACCTGTTATGTTATCTTTTCTACAAGCCCAGGTCATAAGCATGCAATTTTAAGGTAAGGACATTGAGACAAGATTATCAAAGGCTAGGAGGTGAAATCAGGGCTTGGACTCCCACAGTCTAGCATCAGATTCTGTGGTTCTTCCCACATTGCCTACTGCATGGAAACTCGCAGGAAAATAAAAATTGCCTCAAGACTGAAGTGATTTTACTCATCCATCAGTGATCAGATAATAGGCTCCAACAAACCCTGTTTGGAGAGGGTCGGGGAGAAACACAACACATCAACAGGAGGTGGCCCTGACACACCAAAGGAAAGGTGTGAAAATGTAGTGTTGGAAAAAAATAATGGTACAGTTTTTAATCAGTGATCAGTTCGATCCTGTTTTATGGCTAATTATATAACACTACTGAAAAGTTAGGTGAAAGGCAGTCAAGGGATATGTCTCAAAGGTCCAGTTCCTTTCACACTTCATTAGGTCCCTTACAAAACCTTAATGCTTGAGCCAAACCTGAGAAGACAGTTATCACAAGGAAAGAATCAGAATTTTGTTAAGCACATGTGCCCAATATAAAAATATCAGGTCTAAAGGACAGAGAGAGCTTTATTTTTCAGAAGCTTAAAAAGCATTTTGACAGTTATATTTTAACACTGTCAGAAAATTAGGGATTAAGAAAACAGGACAAGAGAATGCACTGTCACATTGTACAGACTGGCTTAATCTTTTTTCTTGATAGAAGATTTTAAAATGCATAATAAGTAAACAGTAATGTTCCTAAATACAGAGATGTGAATGTTGCATTATTGTTGGGGGAAAAAAGTTGGCGTCTAGGGATTGGTTTTTAACTATACTTATCTTACTACGATATCAGTATTTACCTTGGGAGGGATTATAATGCCAAATCTGTGAAGGCTCAAAATCTAGTTTTGCTGCTTCTTAGTTATGGTCTCAAACTGGCAAAATTCCTGCAAGATTTAGTTTCTTTATCAGTAAAGGGGGGCAATAGTTATCTTCCTCCTAGGATTATAATAAGATTTATATCATTTGGCATACTGTGAGCATTTAATTCTAAATAGGATGTTATGCTCTATTTTACCTCTCTCTTATAAATCGTTTTCCTTAACAATCTCTCTCAAGTATTTCTATTCCTACCATTTGAGTTTTTGTTGATGGAACTTTTTTTTAATCACCCAAGGTTAAGAAACAAATCTACCTACAAACTGATGAAATATGTGTATAAGAAAATGACTATAACGTATTGTTATACTATATGTAAAGATTGTGCTTTGGAGGAAGTTACACTTGTGTGCAAAACAGAATGATGCAAAATTTCAATAGATATACATAGCCTTAAAAATCAATTTCACTCATAATTTCACCTGCAAATTTTAGTCAGTATATTAAATAGTAATGTTTTAAAAAATAAATTTTGTGATTCAGTAGTGTAGATCCTTGAACATTAAATATAAACCATAAAGTGCTAAGTAATATACAAGATTATTTCTACTATAATGCCTTGTTACAGTAAATTTATAATATCAAATTAACATCACTCAGCAAATTAAAATACACATTTTTATTCACTGGGATTCAATTTGAAATGTATATGGAAAGTAAAAAATGCTTTCTAAGAAGTTATAACAACATACACAATAGACATTAAGTCAACAAATAAAACAAACAAGATTTTTAGAAGTCTTCCCACAATTTCATCTTCTAAACTTTGGGGAGTGGTCGTAGAAATTAATATCCAGTTTTTGCCAGTCATATTCAGAATACTCCTGTTGCCTAGGGAATAAAAGAGAAAAGTATCCTCAGATGAGTACATTTATAATTCTAATTCTTCCAACTCAATCTAACATTTGCATTATAAAAATATAGTGATGAAGAAGAAACACTCTGTAGTTCTTTTTAACCAACCACGGACTAAACGATTTTTCTCTTGTTTTGACCACATAAAGTCAAAAGTCACAGGTTTTTTCATAGCCAAACTTGCCTCTTTTTAAAGAGATAGCTCAAGCAACATCATAGTGATCATTCTCTTTTTTTTATGATCAGTATTTGTTGAGTATCAACAACATTTGTCACTTAATCATATTAATTGGGACTGATGAAGACCCTGTACTCTTCTAACCTGTATGATTAATGGTATTCCAGGAAGTGAAAATTTAAAGACACGGTAAAAGGTGTGTAGTGACCAAAATTTTTTTAAAATATTTTTTTACATTTTCATGATATTTCCTAAGATCTCTCCTGGTTTGATCACTTAATATGACATCAAATGTTTAATTTACTCCACATCTCTGTGTTACAGAAACAGCTTTTGTTTCTTGTCTTTAATAGTTGAGAATTTTATTTGTGGTCTGTTTTCTATGTTGTCAGAACATATCACTGAATGCCTATCAGGGAGTTTAGAATGATTCTTAACCTTTTTAGGTAATGCAAAAGCAAATTACACTGAAGTTCCTTATACACACACACATACACACACCTAAAATGAATGTCAATATTTGTAAAAAGTGGCAATATTTGGATAATAAAATATTTTATCTATTTTCACTTAAATTCAAAATGGAATCAGGCACAGTGATGCACATCTTAACTGGAATCAGGAGAACTCTAAGCTCCAGCCTAGCCTGGGCAACCAAGAGCTTAGCAAGACTGTCACAAATTTTAAAAGGTGTGGGTTGGAGATGTACCTTAGTGCCAAGGTCCTGAGTTTCAATCTCCAGGATAAGCAAAATAAATAAATATAAAATCAGAAAGGCAGGTTTAGTTTTAAGACAAGACAAAAAGAGAGAAACATGAAAATTATACTAGTGTTATCTTCTTATCTTCGTTAATCTTTGCAATAACTTGTTCCATTCCCAGAGGAGGGAATGACTTGCTCTAAATTGCACAGCAATCACTGGCAAAGTAAGCATCTGAAATTTTCCCTACATTCAACACATTTGCCTGTATTTCAGCAACAAGAGGCAAGAATAATACATGGGTTGCCAGGTGACTATCCTCCCCTCCTGTGGCCTCATCCTTAGCGTGAGTTTCTGCAGTTTGTCCTCCCAGGCTCTCCACACACAGGGAGGGAGGAGTGGGCAGTGGACATAGATTGGTGCTCCTTTCTCACCTGAATGAATCCCAGGTGGTGGGAGGTGACAGCTCCTCGGTCTTTGCTGGGTCTGCTGTTGGAGACCAAAGTGCATGCGGCACAGGTGGTCTCTTAGCAACCTTGGCTCCTGCATTAAAGCACATTGCAAGGTTGAATTTGACTGCCAGGTAGGGGAGGAAGCGGAGGGGCAGGGAGTCCACATGGAGAAACTCTAAAATTACTTTCAAAAGAGACGGGAAGGAAATGTTGAAATGACTTTTGAAAATATGACATTTAATTTCATTTTATCACAGAACTGTACAGCTAAAACTGGAACAGTTGACAGAAAGATTGAGCTGAATTCTAGGATTTCCCTGGCAGGGCAAACATTCATCACACTTTTAAAAGGAATAATTCCTTCAAAATTATTTTAAATGAGCATTTAAATATTACAATATTTATTTGTGTATGAGATCATAACTTGTGAGACTGTAACTCTGATATTTTTCCAGCTCTAGGGATCAAACTGAGCCTCATGTACACTGTACCACTGAGCTACACCCCAGTCCCATATATTTGATTTTTACCTATTTTAAATTCTAGGATTTTGTATCACTATTATAAGCAAATTTGGATGCATAGGAGTAGATTTATTTACAAAAAATCAAGTTATGAAATATAACAACTGCTCTATATTTGAAATATAATAACTGCTCTATGAAATATAATGACTGCTCTATATTTTAATGCTTTAATTCTCCTTTGGATAATTAACACAAATGACATTATCATAAAATATGGAGATGTTACGGTCAAAAGCTTTTGTTGAAGGTATTTTTTTTTAATAATTTAAGTTTTTGTTGAGTATCCGTTATGTGAAACGACTGTACTCAGAAAACTCTCAGATTTTAGAATGTTTCATATACAAAATTATACATTACAGTGAAGGGACCAAAGTCTAAACACTAAATTCACTTATGTTTCAATATATACACCTTATCAACATAGGTTGAAGGTAATTTTATGCAATATTTTTAGTACTCTTGCATTTTTTTTTTTTGTCTTTTTCGTATTTTTATCGGTACCGGGGATCGAACTCACGACTGCCTGCTTGCAAGGCAGGCGCTTATGCCGCTGAGCTAAATCCCCAGCCCCAGTACTCTTGCATTTTGACTGTAACCCAACACATATAGTTGAGTGTGGAATTTCCAGTTGTGGTGTCATGTTGGTGCTCAGATTCTGGGGTTTTGAGATCAGGGATGCTCAACTTGTATATCATATATATTAAAAAGTAGAGCTATCACAAGTAGGTAATAAGTCACAGTGAATGAATTGTAAACTTAGTAAGACCTACCTGTAAACCATAAAGAGGAGCTACTATTTCATTTTCATTACAAAAAGAAAGATAAGGAGACTCCTTAAACAAACTGATTCAACCACAAAAAGGAGTATCATTTTTTCCATAAAAATGATGGCTACTACAAATGTCAAATCATGAAATCATGGAGATACTTCCTAGAGATGATTTTTTTTTTTTTTTTTTTTTGTAATGGGACTCAAACTCAGGACCTTGCACCTGCCAGGAAGGCAAAATGCCACTTAATTACATCCCCTGTCTGTCTTTTTTTGTACTGGGGATTAAGCCCAGGGCCTTGCACATACTGGTCAAGGGCTCTACTAGTGAATCATGCACCTAGCCTGAAAATGATTATAAATCATGCTTATGGCAAACCATTACACTCCTAAAGAAGAAATACCTTGCTACCTATTCCAGGACATACATACAAATAGTATTTATTTATCATATCAAAACTTGGAAACAAACTAAACGCCCAGTAGATAAACTGTGGGATAGTTACATAACTCTGTTACAGAGTAACAGAGTGAGTCTTATAATATTGGATTTGTTGAAAAAGCAAGGCACAAAACAAAACACACACATTTGTCAGTACTTCTATACAAAGTAGGAAGACAGTTAAAGTGCATCACTCAGGGTGTGATTACTGGTGGCAGTGGGGTAGGAGCTGCTATAAACATCAGGGTAGTGGTGACCAAGTGTGGACAGAGAAAGGGCTAAGCAGGAGCATACAACAATGTTACCTGTCCTCCTGGGTAACAGCATATTGGTCAGTTTATTTTTTATTTTTATTTTTTGTGGTACTGGGGCTGGAACTCAGGACCCTAGGGTTAGGGCTAGAGCTTGGCAGGCGGTATCCTCAGTCCTGGCAATCACTTTTTAATTACCTGTTAAACTGTACATAGAAATTGTATGCATTCTTCTGTCCATACATTAGACTCCAGAATTGCAACGTTTTTGTAAAACAGAAGAGTACACACAAATGTCAATGGTGGTGAGATAAGTTTGAATGGAAGGACTACGGGTGACTTCCCCCTTGGCTGTTTGTGTTTCTCACGTCCTTTCAGGAGGGTGTTGCCTCTATAATACCTGAAATCTAAAGAAAGTAAACCAGTTACTGCCAGCCTTTTCCTCTCTCCATGTACTTCAAAGTAATTTATGCTCATTGTATTTTTGTGAAGCCAATCATTATAACAAATGTGAACAAAAGGAGAGTTAAATTTATCAGCAAAACATTTTACTGAAAATATGTAATTTATATAACCAACAACACATTGTCTTTTGCTAAAGAACATGTTTCTGCCTCATTCAAAGTACTGTGAGAAACAGGAACTTCTGTGGTTCCTGTTTGGTTCTTCTCCAGTTTCTAGATTTAAAGTTACTGCAGCAACACAAATCTTTACTGTCACAGTCGGTCAACACACACACACATACACACACACACACACACACACACACACACACACAGATCACACAGATTGTACTGTGGAGCAAAATCATGAGTATTACAATGCTTGATGTATATTAATTTTTAACTCTGCTAAAGTCTTGATAATCTAGTGTTTGTTTTTTTTTCTTTTAGAGTTAAGAAACATTCTTGGAGTGGGGAAGTTATTTAATAGCAATTTCAGGATAAACATTTTCTAGTGTTTTTTATCTGGGGGGGTGAAGGGAAAGTAAAAAGAACTGAGATGTCCTACGTACGTGTACCAACTTGCTGCAATTAGTATAATCATTATGTACTGCAAACATATCCTAATAAAAATTAAAGTTTAAAAATACATCTTCAGCCAGGGATTTAGCTCAGTGGCATAAGCACCTGCCTGGCAAGCATGAGGTCATGAGTGTGATCCCTGGTACCAAAATAAATTAATAAATATAAATAAAAATGCACCTCAAGCTGGGTGTGGTGGCACACAGCTGTAATCCCAGCACTCAGGAGGCTGAGGCAGGAGGATTGGTTACAAGTTCGAGACCAGCCTGGGCTACAAAGTGAGCTCGAGGCCAGCCTGAACTGCAGAGTGAGACTATCTCAAAAAGATAAAAGCAAAAATAAGAAACAAAAAAAAAATACACCTCAAATATACACATATTTCAGACAAATTATAGCACTTTAAAAATTATGATACAACAAATTCAGTGTGCCTATCTAAAGACGTTGGTCTTATCTTGGATGTAGTAGTTTTAAAATCATAGTTAAAATGACATGACCTCCAATTTTCAGTATGACATCTTGGGTTATTTGGGGCCAAGTGCATTTTATATTGAAACTTCAGAAAGTCACAAAGAACTTCCCTTCCTGCTTGAATGGTTCTGTCTCTCTTTTTAGAGAGTGCAGTGGAAATCATCTCATTATTTTTTAGATAGATGGAGAGCAGCGATAACTCCTGGTTTCTAGGAGTGGGACTTCATTAAATTCTTTGTTCTTGGCTTGGCCACCAATTTACCAGCCCTGGCCTTTGAATCTCCCCTTTCCTCTTCTCTCAGTCTATCATCTATCATCTGGCTATCACCACCTACCTATAATTGATCTATCCATCTATCTAGTCTTTCAAATCAGTCCTGACTCCTGGAGCCACAGAAACAGAGCATTTTCTAAACAGCTTGGTCCCCAGGAAAAAATAAAACAACAGTAATAAAAACCCTTTATGACATAAAATACCATTGATTGCCCTTTTCTTAATTTTTTCCAATCCTTATCATTTCCCTTTACTGGATGTGGATTTTTGGTCCAGACAAATAACAGAATACAGTCTTAAAGTCTCTTCTGCAATCAAAAGAAAAATACTTTTCATTGGATTTGAGTTTATAGTCTTTAACATCAGGGTCACTTTTCAAAAATATTTTCTTTTTTCAACAGGAATTTTCTAATCCTACTCCTTGTTTCCATCCATTTGTCTAACAGTTAAGATAATATTCACAGAAGTTCCCTAGAGAGACACATGCTGAAAAGTGAGCTGATTGAAATCTTTTTTTTCTCAGTACTAGGGATAGAACTTAGGGCCCTTCCACCGAACTTCACCCTGAGCTCTATTTTTTTTTTCCAGACAAGATCTGACTAAGTCACCAAGTTGCCCAGGTTGTACTCAAGCTCACAATCCTCCTGCCTCAGCCTCCCACTGAGTACTGGGATTTCAGACATTCACCAACATACTCAGTTGAAACCTGCCCATTTTTGCTCAACAGATCACTTAAGTAAATCATGATAACTATCACTTATTGAGGGATCTAATATGTGCCCTGTCCTAATTATGTACTGTTTGGAGGTGAAGGACTCAGAGTAGCCTGAGACTGTCAGGATTCTACACCAGGGCCCAAACTCTAACGTAGGACACTCCAGCCCCTGGTTGCCCTTCGCCTTCAGTTACGCTTGATTTATTAATGATTTCAAGAAGTTACTCTTGAGAGGGTCTGTATTAGACTGGAAATTGACTATGCCACATAGTTACATAGCCATTTGTAGACCTTGCTCCTTCTGTAGACCGTGCTTCCTTCCTATAAATGTAAACTGCTTATTGAACAATGGGATGGATGGTCTTGCCATTACCTTTGTGACCCCTCAGTTTCCCAGAATATCTTAACAAGAATGAGCTGTTAATTTGTACCCATCAGAACAATCTTCCCTTTGTCCAAAGGACATTCCCATACCACAAGTACAAACTTGCTGTGTAGCAGTGAGGGAAATATACTTTTCAATTATCTATTTGTCATTATCTATCTATCATCAGTCTAGTAGTATTTGAGACTGAATCCAGGGGTGCCTTATCCCTGAACTATATACACAACCCTTTTATTTTTTTTATTTTTTTTATTTTTTTTTTTTGCCTTAGGTAGCTTTATTATTATTTTTTTTTTTTTTTTAAATTTTATTTAAGGAGAAAAGAAAAAAAAAGCAGGGAAAGGGTACAAGTTATACAGATTTACAGAAAAAAAATGAACAGTAGGAAATCACTAGTTAATGGATTACATATTGTCATCTTAGAAATAATTGTTCAAGTCACAAAATTAAAGCTTGTAAAGTGGACATTCCATCAATGATACTGCAAACAGTTCTGTTCATTGATCCAATAAAACTCTGTGATATCATTTTCTGTCTTATACACTTAAATATACATGCAGTTATATAGTTTAGAGTACTTTCTTTTCCTCTCTTTTGTACCATAACTATTACACATTTTGGGTTTCATTGCTCCCACGGTTCTTATTACTTTTTTGGAAGAGAGTAAAACCAAATGTGACATAACAGAACAGAATCGGTCAAGTCAAAAGGGTGGACATAATAGATAATGTAAAAACATAATACAGGTGATCAACAATGGTTACCATAATGTCTCCCGCTATCTCTAATAGAATTGCCTATATCATTAGTTATAATACAATTGAACAAAACAGTAAAGAATAAAACCGACAAAACCAAAACATTGGAGACATTGTAGGTCTTCAAAAGTAGATAAAAGTCAACAAGAATGGGCGTCATAATGAATCTCATTATCTTCACAGCTGATGCCTAAACTTTCGAACCTGATACTATCCAGCAAAACAGAATAGGGGAACATCAGTTAAAAACCAGATGGTGAGAGTAATACAGGGCTTTAAATCAAGGTAATGAAAAGTCAAAATGGGTTACTATAATATATCCTGCTATTTTTTTCCTTTAATTAAAAGGATAAAGATAAAAAAGTAAATAATGGAGTGGAGATTGAGATAAAAGAGGGCATAACAATGAAACAGCGCAGATTAAAACATAACCATTTAAGCAGAATAGTGTTTCACCACCAGATAATCCTAACCTAAAAGTAGTTACCATATTGTTTCTTTCTTTGAAATCCTTGAGTACAACTTCGTATACTGTAGCATTAAGTATATCAAAACAATGTAAAACCATTCAAGAGAATGACAGCATTACAGAGTATTTAGAATCGACTAACAGAAAATGAACAATGGTTTCTGTATAATCTCCTTGTCTTTAAAAGGTTTTTGCTTATACTATCGTACATAATAAAATCCAATAAGATACAGCCTATTTAGACCATTGGAGACAGAAGGACAAAAGCTAGATGAGACTTCAAAACAAGATGATACTAAATCAGTATTACCTATTAAGATGTCATTTTCTCCAAAATAGCTGTTCCTATCATCCAATCTTCTCTGCCTCATTTCTGTTAAGCTCTTTTTCTGTCAGTAGCTGTCAGTTTGTCTTCTTCATTTTGTTCTCTGCTCCATTTGTTGTGGCCTCCCCGCCACTATTTCTGGGTTCTTTGTATTTTTCTTTTTTTAGAATATCCTGCAATACTTTCTGTAGAGTTGAATTGGTGGTTGCAAATTCCCCCAGTTCCTCTTTATCCTGGAAGCACCTTGTTTTTCCATCAATTTCCAGGGACAGTTGTGCAGGATATCTCAATCTTGGCTGGAGATTATTATCTTTCAAAGCTTGAATTATTTCCCCCCACGCTCTTCGTGATTTGATGGTTTGTGCAGAGAAATCTGCTGTAATTCTGATGGGTGTTCCCTTGTAAGTGGTCTGTTTCTTGTCTCTTACAGCTTTTAATATTCTGTTCTTGTATTGAATTTCTGGAATTTTTATTATTATATGCCTGGGTGTTGCTCTGTTTGGGTTGTAGGTAGCTGGGGTCCTGTATGCCTCATACATCTGAGTATCTTTACCTTTTGCTAAATTAGGAAAATTCTCCTGGATTATTTCTGTGAGTAGCTTTTGTAGTTGACTTGTTTGTGTCCCTACTTCTTCTTTTATGTTCTTAATCCTTAAGTTATGGATCCTCTTATCATCTTCTTGTCTTTGTATTATTGCTGTTTGTTTCTTTGTTATTTTTAAGAAGTTTTTCATTTCATTCTCCCATATTACAAGTCTGCCCTCCAGTTCAGATAGTCTGTCCTTAGTTTCTTTCAAGCTGTTATGCCAGTCTTCGATAGACTTCTTAGTATCTTGGTAGTCCCTTTGAACCTGCTTCACGTATTCTATGCTTTCTCTGTTTTCTCCATCAAACAATTCTCCCCTTTTTTTCTGTTCTTCCATTCCACCACCTGTTTTTTCTTGGGTGGTACTTAGCATTTCTCTAACTATTCTGCATACTTCTAGTTTCAGGTCGTTGATAACTTCATTCCTGAATTGGTCTATGAGGCTCTCTATATGGTGCCTTATGTATATTGGTGCGGTGTCTGCTATTGCCTGTTTCTCAGAATGGGGGCTGAGGGGCCTTTCTTGTTGCTGCCTCTTCCCATGCTGCCTCTTCTTCTCTGTTCCTTATATATGCAAGCTTATATAAGAGGCCCAGCTTCTCTCCCAGTCAGCCATAGCCTGATCGAATTGCGCCAGTTAGGTGTTCCCGCTCACCGCTGCGCACCAGGGAGTTACGGACCAGGCAGCCTACGCGTCTCCCCTCCCGGCCACCGTCAGGCTCTGGGATCTGGGTTGGGACAGTCTACCAGGTCCGCCGGCAGCGTCACGCAGGCCAGGCACTTTTCACCAATCCCGCCCGAGAGGGGGATGTGTGGCTGGAGTCGCCACCGCGCCCTGCTCCCGCAGGACTGCTCGGGCCCAGAAAGTCCTCTGCTGGAGTCAAACTGTGGTAGAGTGTCAGTTTCTCTCACTCACCTCACCACAAGTCAGTGCATGCCTCCCTGCCGTTCGCAGATTCCCGTTCTCAAGCTTCCGCGCGTCTCTCTCCTTGCCGAGCCGCTGTAGAGGCAGCCAGCCGCTGCGCGGCGGGAAACCCAAATCGCGGCTTACAATGGCGCGGTTCCAGCCTCCACACCGAGTCTTTTCTGTTCCTGTTTTAGCACCAGGACTGCATTCCAAGTTGGCTTCTCTCAGCCCAGTTCGTTCCTGAGTCAGCAGAGCATATCTCCACCTGCTTATGTCTCCTTAGTCCGCACCATTCCTGGCTTCTGAGCCGAGTCTTTCAGAGAGCCGCCGGTAGTTGCTGTTATCTGTCCGCCTTATTTTTTGAACACTGAGTCCTACTGTTACCCAGGATGGCCTCAAATTTGGAATTATCCTGCCACAGTCTCCTGAGTGGCTGGGATTACAAGTGTGTTCCAATGTATCTGGCCTCTCTTATTCTTGTATGCTGCTTTGTTTCTAATCACTGGCCATCTTGTACCTAGCAAGTTGTACTTGGTAGTTGCAAGAAGACTGATTTACCATTTTAGTGAGGCTTTAGGTAATTCATGTAACTCTCTGTTCCTCAGTTAACACTTCTGTGAACTGGGCAGGGGTAATAATAATTCCTACTTCATAATACAGTGTGAGAATTAAATAATCCTTGTACCTAGGAAATAAAAAATAAGTGGTGACAATCATTACTGATTGTAGTCTGTCATGTTACCTACTAGACTATATGTTTTACATGAATCATTCTCAGGCTTCTTAAGCACCTAGACACATGTAAGGGTCAAACTCTTACACATCTTTTGAGACTCAGTGTTACCTCCTCTGTGGTCCCCTCTGACCCCTTCATGCAGAATTTATTTTGCACTTGTCGGTAACATGCTGCCAGTTGGTACACTGGATTACAGCTGTCTACATCCAAAATCCCAGAGAGCTGCTGTCTTCCTCAAAGGGAAGGTGGCCTAATCCACTCCAGATGCCAGGACTTCACAGTCTGGGTCACTAATTAGTTCTCAACAATTACTGACTTAATAACTGCACTTCTGGTGGATGCTTTCTTGGAAGACTGAACATTCATGTTATTCAAATGATTCTTGTAAGAAGAAATACTACATACAAAGATTCCTTTTCCCAGAAAATAGTTTTAAACATAAAACCCCAAAGTTGAGTATTCTAAACTTGCCTCACTTTGGAATATGTCTCCTTTTTGTCCTAAAGTTATATTCAATGGAATTGACTTTTCAAAACTAGAAAAAGTATATGAAAATTATGTCTTAATATTTTTGTCTTTGTTATTGTTTGTAATTAGGGAACTGTCAAGCATTTGAAGGACAACATAAAGCATGGCACAGGATCTATACGGCTTTAGGACAAGAGTGTCTTGTTGGGATGGTCACCATTTCTAGGGCACAGCAGACATCTGCCCCACTTAAATTCCTCAAATTTGAGTGATTTAGGAGTTAATGGGACACCTGAGCATATTCAGTGGTAAATGGATTTTATATGTTGCACATTTCTGATATTTGAGTTCAAGTTGTATTTACTGAACTAATTAAGGTCCCACTAAAGTCTGTGCAAAGCTGAATAATATCAGAAAGAATTTAACACGTCTGAGAAATTTACTTATCAGTGACTTAAGCCTTGCAAGAGAGAGTGTTCACATGAGAATATGACTTAAATGACGTTAGCCCTGAACATTGTTGTAGCTTGTTTCTTGACTAAGACATGAACTCAAAGCAATTTTCTTCTTTCCAGCTAAGAAAAGCAATAGTAGTCAAAGACCTGAAGTATTTAAAAGATGTTGGCACCAGAAATGATATTTGATCTTTCATAAATGTCTCATTTGACAGAACTACAGAGATATGTCAGAGATCACGCAGTTGTTCCTTTCTAGAGCTAACTTCATAATTGCCTTAGCAATTTCTTAATATTTATGGCAAATTGGACCCTGTTTTCCCAGACTTAGCTATTTGGAAAGATTCTGTCTTCACCACTTTCCAACATTTGATGCAAGGACAAAGTATGACCAGCAAGTCAATAATAAAGTAAATCACAAGTGACAACTAGAAATTTGGGTGGGGAAAGTTCACAAGACAAAGAACTTGAGCAAGTAAACTTTGACTGAGAGGAAAAAAATGTTTGGTCACAGATGGTCAGTCAGCAAGGTAGAATGAGGAGAGAGTGCAGGATTTGGAGCTGGATGGAACTGGTTTTAGATCCTGACTCTGGCACTATTAGCTCTGTGACCTTGAACGAGGTACTTAACCTAAAATGCTACTTCAGCTGAAGAGCAGAGATAACATCCCTACAAGGGTGTGAAAGGATTTAATTCATAACAGTTAAGTGCCTACACACTCACACACACACACATACACTTTGGTTTTAGTCTCATAAAACTTCATGAGGTGGAATATTAAAACCACCATTTCTTTAGAGAGAGCCAAACCCAAAGAGGTTAAGTAATCTGCCTGGGGTCACATACTTAGCAGCAGATGCCTGGGGATATGGATAGGGAGCTGCTTGGCTCCAAAGCCCACAGCCTTGATCTTTGGATACCATGGAATTGGTAAAAATGTAAGCCAAGAGCCCAGCATGCTGCCTGACACTGCACAAGGAGTGAACAGGGGAAACGGCAGAAGCAGAAAGAAGGTGTGGGAGGGTGAGGCGGGCTGAGAAAGATGCGGGTTGCCTGGCAGCTCTCATGAGCGCTCCTGATCAACAGCAGGCTCCAGTGTGACAGCAGTGTTCCAGACTTGTCAGGAGCCCCTGTATCTCATCGCTTTTGGCTCTATTGCTTATCCTTCTTTCCAGGTTGATATTTCTCCAATTTTCACTTTCCCAAACCTCCAATGGCCATGCTTCCAATGGTTTCAGTTCATATCCTGACCATAAAATTATGCATTGCCCCTAAAAGGCCTAAGTTACTCAGCTATGGATGGATGCTGCCATTAAGAAATATTCTAGATCCCAAAATATCAAGACATCGTCAACTTTCTCCCTGCCAAGTTTCCCAACAGTCCTCTCCCCCACAATGAACCACATTGTAGTAAATTTGTCTTTTTCCTTTTTATCGGTATCAGGGATCGAACTCACAACTGCCTGCTTGCAAGGCAGGCACTTATGCCGCTGAGCTAAATCCCCAGCCCCTGTTGTAGTAAATTCTTACAAGGCCAAGTGAAAAGCTGGCGTTGACTTAATAACTGCACTTAAAGTAGATGCTATCTCGGAAAACTAAAAGCCACCCATGAGTCATCCTTCAAATGATACGAAGACATAGAATTGGGAATGAGGTGGGTTCATTGTTAGCTCTGTGGGGTTTTGTATCTGCAGAACTCAGCTAGCCAAACAAATGTCATTCTCAGGTTGAGGGGGAGGAACAGAAAAAGTGATGAATCTCTGGGTTTGTTGAGTTCTCAAATGTATTTGGCAAAACCTCTTAAACTGTCTATTTGCCCTGCAATACAAATTTCCTGCAGAAATTCACTGCTGCCATTAAAATGTTTTTTAGGTGCTCATGTAATTTCTGAAACCAGCTGGATGTTCTTCTTCAGGGTCAAGTATGGTTGAGAAAGTAGATAACTGAGTGGGAGAACATAATTTCAAGTTTCAGTGAAAGACTCCAGATAAGAAACAATAACTCCAAGCATTTAGCCCAGGGCTTACAAACAAGCAGGTGCTCAGTGATTTGAAGGAGGTAATGGAGATGAGACAGAACTTTAAGGCATGTTCTTCGAAGCTCACAGTCATTACTGAGAAGGGGATGCCCCAAAGAGGAGCCTGAAAATTAAGAGCAAGCCCATGCTGACTGTTATCAGAGTTACTCATAAAATGACTACTTCCTGCCATAATAAAAGTTTATGGGCCCCTCCCTAGCCTATATTTGCACCTAGTAGAAATTTAATACATCTTTACAGAATGAAAGCTTGTAGAGGAAAATACAATCTCATCCTACCTCCTAAGTCACAGAATCATACTCCTTTCTGGCCTACCCAGACATGTAGGAGGTGATCTAATGTAGTGAGAAAGGAATCCATTCTCTGGAATGCTCATTATAATATAGCAGGCAAGGTCTAGCAAGTAACAGCTTATGTTGGAAAATCGTTTTTGGTGCTTCACCCTCATTGATCTTAGCTTTAGCCTTCATGTCCTGCACTGCTAACAGTATACCCCCTTCCAGGCCTTCATCCCCAGCATTTGCATCACTTACATCATCCTAAAAGTGAAGATAGATATTGACTAAAAACAGTAAAATTTCAGTGTTGCCTCTATGTGTCAGTGTAATGTTGCCATCAAAGATCACAGTTGGAGGCTCTGGACTTGAATTTGAAACAAATGATAGAGATATTTAGGGAGACTTGAGAAAAATCTGAGTGAAGGATTTAAAAAATAATATAAAAACAGTTGTCACTCTAGTGGGACGCTTATATATGTTGTGAGTAAACCCTGTAGCCCTGTGAATGGGTTATGATTCTCATTTCACAAATAAAGAAACTGCAACTGACAGTGGTTGGGTACTGCTTAAAGTCATACAACTTACAAGAAGAAAAAAGCAGAGTTCCAACCCCAACCCACATTTGACTCTAATTCACTGTAATGCCTTCGTTGTGCAATATATCTTGGTGCTTGATGCACATATTCGGGAATCAAACATACCAAAGCTGAAAGCTATATCCACCATGTTTCCTTGAAAATAAGACCCAATCAGAAAATAGCCTTAAAACCTAAAAATCAAAACTGTCAGCCCTAATCACCCTATCCATGCCCTACCTGCCATTACTGAATAGTCCCTCTGCAAGGCAGCTAGTGCAGATATAGGTTGATTGGGACTGGCATTTTTTTAAATCTTGATTTCAAGGCTGATTATTTTCCAGGTAGGACTTATTTACAGGGAAACAAGGCATGTCCTAAAGGATTGGATTGTCACATTTCAGCTCCACTCATAAACACCAAACAAAGCATCTGCCTCTCTGGACTTCAGATGCCTCCCTTTCCAGAAAACACAGTGACTCACTTTACAGGACTTGCAGAAGCAATTGTTTCAAAGAAGGCTGCAATGACAAAACCTTTGGCTAAAATACAAGGACGTAATGAACCCCATGCAGAAAGACGGTACCCTCTCTGACCCTAACCTGCAACATGGAAAAATCACAAGCGTGCGTGCCTGCCTTATGCCTCCCCCTGCATACATCTCCCACATGTGCACATTCACTTTGCATCACTGGAACTCGCTCTGGAGAGAAAACACAGGGAGATGAGAGTACAACGCTGTAGCCACAAGGCTTGGTTAGGTAATTCACGTACGGTGTTATTCATCCTTTACTTCTCTTCCTGCCTTTATTTAGCATAAAGAAATGAAAAGAGTAAGATTTTAATTCATTAATCACTTATAATCAGCTTTATAAAACTTGGCAAGATGTTAAAATGCAAGAACTAGAGGCTTTGGAGTTTTACGCTATAATATTCTCCTTCTATCAGATGCAAACAAGAGACGCCAAAGTTTCCTCCTACAGCAACATTTAAAAATGCTACAGTTTCTGTAAAAAAGCAATACTTACTTTGAGGGTTCTGTAAGTGAAGTCCAAAGTCGAGAGAATGAGCTCTCTCTTGTGAAAAACACCATATGTTCCTTGTGGATCACAAAGTCACTGGGCTGTTATTAATAACTGGCTCAGAGCTTATGAAGAAACATGAGCCAAAATGTCACGGGAGGCGGCAAGGGGAAAGGAACTGACAGACACAGGTGGAATAAATTATGACAAAAATATACCTACACGGGACCTGAAATAAGCCATGAGGAGGGGACCAGCTCCTCCATCATGAACAGGACCGTGTGTGAAATGTTCTAAGAGTTAAGCCAGCCAGCAAAAATATCCTTAGTATGCAAATCATCACCAGTTATTTAATGTTTTACTGTCCTTTGCTCTTTTAATTAAACATTCCTTTTCTGCAGATATCTGAATATCTTTTCAAATTTGTACATTGTACTTTACTTTGACTTCTCCATTTTCAAAATATGTCAACAAGTGGATTTTCAAAAATATATTACCTTTGGGGATGAGGGTTACTAGGGACTGAATCCAGGGCCATCATAATGAGCTACATCCTCATCCCTTTTTTCTTTCAAGATAAGGTCTTGCTAAATTGCCTGGGTTAGTTTCCAACTTGCAATCCTCTGGCCTCACCGTCCTATAGAGCTGGGATTATGGGAACCTAGCAAGACATTTGGCTTATTAGTTTTTTAACAGTTTCTTTACCTGTAAGCATATTAGCTTCCTTTTCTTTGGGATCCCTACCAACTTCCCAGAAAAGGTGGGGGGGCATTAAGGGAAATGGATCTTGGGACAGTATCACACATAAAAGGTATTCGGTAGAATTAACATGGTAAAAATAGGGCTAAAACCTATCTTCTGGTTTATCACGATTCTCTCTTTTTGCAAAGCTATCTTTCAAAACTTTCCAAGATTGTGCCTTTATCATCTCCCACAACTAACATTAAATTGTTCAGACCACTAATAGTATGCCTTTAGACCTAAATTTCAGCAGAGACTGGCTCAGCCTCTGTTGAGTGTTACAAGAAAACTATTAGACAAAAGTCACTGAAATCTATAGAGGGACTTGTAGACACTGAATGGAGCAACACTTGTTAAATTACTTCATTCTTATTTTTTAGCCGTCTTTACCCTCGCTTAAGCCTGATGGATGCTCTTTTTTTCAAACTGAACCCCTTTTGAACTAAACACTATCATAGAGTGGTAAGGCCAGCTTCAGACTTTATGAGAGTCAGTAGAACAACTGTTAGGAAGAGAAACTGATAAATTATTGACCACCAGTTGAGCAAATGGGTGAAGAGTACAGCTGATACAGGGCCGTTAGTTGTTTTTGTTTTTAATTTTTCACACCCCGATCAGTTCATATACAGTTGTACATCAGTGATGGCAATAAATTCTGATAAATGCATTGTTAGATGATTCTATCATTATAGAAATATAGATTGTATTTACACAATCCAGGATGCTATTGGTCAATCACTCAGTGTGGCCCTGAGATGTATAAACTTATACACTTTGCCTCTAACACCCATTTCTGTTGGTAGAGACCATTCTCTTTTATTTCTTACACTTCAAAAATGGTTGCAGTTAAGCCGAGTGAGGTGGCATGTGTTTGTAATCTGAGAGCCCTAGGAGGCTAAAGCAGGAGAATCACAAGTTCCAGTCCGGCCTAGGTGATTTAGCAAATCCTTATCTCAAAATATATATTTTTTTGGTTTAAATGTAGAAATGGCTGGAGATGTACCTCAGTGCAAAAGCCCTGGGTTCAATCCTAAGAAACACACACACACACACACACACACACACACACACACAAGTTTAAAGTTAAAAACTGCTGTTGAGTATCAAAAAAAGTGGTGCATTGGGGCTGGGGATTTAGCTCAGCGGCATACCGATAAAAACGAAAAAGACCAAAAAAAAAAAAAAAAAAGTGGTGCATTAAATTATTAATTTCAACTATTTTTCTCCAAAATCATTTAAATAAATCCTTTTCAGTTTTTATTATTAAGCAGAACCACACTTGATAAGCACGTGTTGTCAGAGGAATTACTGAATCCATAATCAAACCTTCAAAGAAAAGAATTCAAGCAGCAACACACTGCCTTCTCCTGAGTCCACTGCTCAACCTGGTGCCCTGGGAACAGCAGGAGGAAGATTTCAGGCCCTGCCACCTGAGAGCAAGGCCAGAGTTGAAAAAGCCTTGCTCCTGTGTTTCCAAGGCACAGGGCCCAGTAAGCAAAGCTTTGTGTGAGGAAGGAGACTGACTTCTTTGCAGGAAGAGTTACCCACAGTGAAGCCACTGACAATAAATAAGTAAAGGACTGAGGCAGAAATAATATTTTATCAGGAAACCAACTTCCTGGCTTTAATCACCCCACTGTTTTTTAGACTAGAAGGTCTTTGGATAGTAGGGGGCAGTGGAAAGGAAATGACAAAAAAAAAAAGTCTCTAAAGCTGTTGCCAATGCCACTGCCCTGTCTGGCTCAGTTTTGCCCAGTTACAATTCCTGTCCAAGGTGAAGGGGAATTTGCATGGCTGACACAGTGCGGAATGCAGAGGTGGAGAGTTTTTGAAACTGACAAACATGTCATCACATCTCTAAAGCGGAAACTTGATAAGAATAAAGTATGTAAGTAAATTTTGTGTGTGCGTGTTTGTAGTACATGTGTACAGTCCTTGTGGGGAGTTTGTTTATAACACGGTAATTCCTTTTTAATTCCTTTTTCCTCCTCTTTTTTCCTCTCCTCCTCCTCCCTCTAATCCGTTTCCCATTTGAGAAAGATCTATCTCCCTACTTCTATTATCTACATTTTATTTTGCTTTCTTTATAACTTGGATTTTTCATGTAAGACAAAGCATGCAATATTTAAGCTTATGCATCTGATATATTTCATTTAACATTATGTTCCCAAGTACATCCATTTAACAAACCAAAGCATTCCAAAATCTGAAAAAATTCTAAACTGTAATATTATAGATTTAAGCTGCAGCATTCATATATCTTTGCTGCTGGGAAAATTAAGTACATTTTGAATGTTGTGATCATCTTTTTAATTGTACATTCAGAAAATTAATGTTGAAAAACAAACTCAGATATGACAACCTAAAATAACTTGTACCACCAAAACTTAATATTTTAGAAATCTTGTTGCTTAAAAAATCATTGAATAAGAGAACATGGAATAATAGTTTTCATATTTGAAACTTAACTTGTTCTAGTCCCTTTACTAAAATCTTTGCATAAATATATCAGTGAACAAGAAAAGAAATAAGGCTGAGTAGTTATGCAATTTATCCAAAGTTATATGTGTCATGGTTATCTGAATTCAAGCATTCTGGAGCCCAGTGCCACGCGGTCAATATATAAGAGTAGCTCCCGTGAAAGCACACATTTTTAAGGGAAGGAAGGAAAGAAACAGGAAGAAAAGGAAGGAGAGGAGAAAGAGGGAAGGAAACAAGAATAAAGGAAGTACTCATAGTGTCAACTGAAGTGTGTATTCTGGTCTCCTTGTAGCCAGATTTGACAACGGGACAAATATCGGAAAAGTGAAATTCTCAGAAATTGATTTACCTAGAGAGCTTACTGCACATAGATGCATGTTAGTGCCCCCATAAGCTGAACTTTCCATCAGAGGCAACATTGTGCTAACCCAACCATATAGAGAATTCCAATTATCACAGAAAAACAAACAAAAATGTAACTTAAGATTTGAGCTTAGGAATACTGCAGGTCCAAACCTGGCTCAGAGTCTGAAAGGTTTTGCCTCTAGGTCTTTGAAGGAACTCTTGCTGCAGAAAGGTCAATGACATGAATAACCTTTGGGTTGTGTGAGTGGCAATAAAATTTACTTAACAACTGAGGATTGTAATGACAATTGAAGGCAACTGCTTTCCCAATGCAAAGAGAAAGTAAGTAACACAAAAAGCACTTGGTTATTAATTGCTTTATAAATAAAGTCATTCCTTTCCCCCTCCAAACTGTTAACATTTTCATCTCAGTAAATCAGCACTGGATCATGCAGCCAAATGGTTCTCTGAGCAACAAGAAAACAGAGGATTTATTTTCAGATGAGAGGATAAAATACAAAGTCAGGATTGCTCAAATTTACAAAACTGGTTAGGAATCGGGGTACCATGCCGTTCCAGGGCTATAATATAGATGCTGTCTCATCAGAACATCAAACTGCTCTTACAGAGAAGTTAGAAGGTTAGACAAGCCTGATTTTCCCCTCTTAACGATTCTCAACTTTTAGTTCTATTAAACCAAGGCTAAATGCATGGTAGTCCCCTTAGAGAACAAGCCAAAAGCGTCAGAAATGTACATCCCACCCCCATCCCCAACACAGCCAGTTACAAACATTTTTAAATTCCTAACCATACTAACCCAGGGGTAATTAGACAAGTTAGCAGCTGTTATAAAATGTCTGAAACTGATCAAGAGGACACTGGACCACACCTTGGAGCCACAATGTCAGAGTTTGGCCTCTCACCCTGTTCTCAGGTGGTTTCATGCATAGCCACACTACCCAACAGGGGGGTGACCCATTGTATAACCTGAAAGGCTCCCCCAATACATCACAAATATCCAGCCTGGCAATTTAAAAAGCACAGTGTGTATTCCCATAAAGAAACTGGAAGACCATGAGAGGGACTTAATATTGTCTTCTTCCTAATTCCTTAGCTCAGATATACCCATCATAGATGTCTCACTTAGACACTTGGTTCAGTACAGATTATTTCCTCAGAAGTCTCAATGTTAGTGTAATAGCTTAGTACTCCTAAGCTAAGTAAATTCACTCTAGTTCTTTAATAATCTCAAAGTTTCATAAGGTCAACTCCAACCGTAATGACAGCAACATTAAATACCAGCTTGTGGACCACTGTAGGGTTTGGCCTTTTCCAAGCAAAGGAGAAGGCCCCACAGTATCAGCTCTGTGACCTGTGGAAATATGTAGATGGGAACTAAAAATAATAAAGAGAAAACATTTTCTTAGCTTCAAATTCAACAGTCAGTCATGACAATCCAGTTGCCCAGGGCTTATAACTCATAAATCTAGAAATTTTTACTCAGTTCACAACAACCCCTTGCCATGTTTCTCACTGTACAAAGTGATATATAAAATGTTCTTAGCTGATTGTGGGGCACACACATTTAATCCCAGCACTCTGGAAGGTGAGGCAAGAGGATTGCAAATTCAAGCTCAGCCTGGCCAATTTAGCAAGAACTTGTTCCAAAATAAAATATAAGAATAGGCTGAGGACATAGCCCAGTGTGAAGGT